TGTGCAATGGGTTATCTTCCCTTTTTTTTTTTTGAGTTAGAGTCTCACTCTGTCACCCAGGCTGGAGTGCAGTGGCACGCTCTCCACTGTAGCCTCGACCTGATGGGCTCAGGCGATCCCTCTGCCTCAGCCCTCCAAGTAGCTGGAACTATAGGCACACACCACCATGCCCATTGGATTTATTGTAGAGATGAGGTCTTGCCAAGTTGCCCAGGTTGGTCTCAAACTCGTGGACTCAGGCAATCCTCTCACTTTGGCCTCCCAAAGTGCTGAGATTATAGGTGTGAGCCACTGTGCCCGGCCCATCTTCCCTTTTTAAGTAACAAGTAGTCTGTGGAGAGATATGTTAAGATCATGTAAATATCCTGTTTCTCGTCAAACTTTTACCTAATACTTTTAACATTAAAAAAATGTTTTTTAAAGATGTAGGGTACAATTCAGGGTTAGGTATACAAATGTTCATTATGCAGGTACCCTTGTTGATGAGGTGTGCCCTCCCCACCGGCAGTTCCCCACTACTACCAATCCCTTTCTTATAGTATTATGATAATTGTTCAAGGACCACTTATGAGTGATACTTTTAGCATCTATTGATGATTAGTCCTTGAATCCATTTATACTCTGATGATTGCAAAAGTTCGTTCTTTCTCTCTCTCTCTCTTTCTTTCTGAATTGGAGTCTCACTGTCACCCAGGCTGGAGTACAGTGGCACACTTACAACCACTGCAGCCTCCACTTGCTGGGTTCAAGTGATCCTTCTGCCTCAGCCTTCCAAGAAGCTGGAACTACAAGTGTGTGCCCCCAAGCTCAGATAATTTTTTGATTTATTGTAGAGATGAGGTCTCGCCAAGTTGCCCAGGCTAGTCTCGAATTCCTGGGCTCAAGCAATCGTCTCGTCTCCACCTCCCAGTGCTGGGACTATGAGGCAGGATCCACTGTGCCCAGCTTGCAAAACTTTTTAAGAAACAGTAAGATAATCCTTATATTTGATAAAATTCATTTTATTAAGATTACATTTAAGATTTGTAATAATCCCTGTGTGATGGAAACTTTTGAAACCACAGTTTAAAACACATGATAGCATTTGAGTTTTTTTTCCTTCCTGTGACACATTTTTAGAGAAAAATTTGAGTTTTTTTGTTTTGTTTTGTTTTGAGTTGGAGTCTCACTCTGTCGCTGGAGGGCAGTGGCACGCTCCCGGCCACCGCAGCCTCGACCTGCTGGGCTCCAGCGATCCTTCCGCCTCA